GCTGCTTAGAAGAGTTCCCTCTGGGACCCCCCTGATGCCCCCATACTCCTTCACCCCCTGAGACCTTGCCAGGACCTGCCCCACCCACCCTAGGAGGAGACCCCTCTCCAATCCCCCTGGAACCACCCCCACTAACTCTGTGACCCCACCAGCCCAACTCGGCCCCTCCCCCGCAGTGCATCCAGCTTCGAGGGCCGCAGTGTCCCAGCCACCCCCATCCTGAGCCGTGGCAGCTACAGCCACAACCAGCACCTCAGGTACCGCTGAGAACCCCCTGACACCCCTCTGAGAAACCTCCTGAACTGGGAATCCATCCCAGGGACCTCTTCAGGACCTCCCTGCCCCCCTTGGACATCCTGGGGTCTCCCATCCATCCCCAGCTTGGGGTATCCTCTCCTTAGCATGATGGGAGAGACGAAGTGCAGTTGGGGGGAATTGCCATTGAGGGGAAAGCGGGGATCCCCCATCCATTCCCAGCTGCGAGGGGGGGGGGGGGTCTCCCACCTACTGTCCAGCTCACCTCCCCTGCTTAGCACCAGGGTAGAGACCAAGTGGAGATGGGAAGGAGTTGGAACTATCCATTGAGAGGGAAGGGGGATCCCCTTGCTTAGCACCATGGGAGAGATGAAGCGGGTCTGGGCAGGGGGGGGTTCTCAAGCTGAATTGGGGTCCCTCCAAGTACTAACCCACCTTTCTATTCTCCACCCCCCCTTTGCAGGCCTGACCCCCCCCGGCTCTGGCAGGGCCCCCTAGACTCCCCCACCCCTGGTGCACGGCGCAGCAACAGCTCGGAGGCCTTGATCGAGCGGGGCGGAGGGTTGGGGGACCCTTCGCCCCCTGCCCAGCGCCCAGGTGGCAGCAGCGGCAGCCCTCCACACCAGACCCGCCGGGCCGGGAGAGCCAAGTCGTGTGGTCCTCCTCAAAGCCATCCACCTTGGGCGGGAGGCCCTCCAGCCCCTCCCCGGGGAGGCCAGAAAGCTCTGGCCTTGGAGGGCCTACGGGAGTGGTACCTGCGTCATGCGGGGCCACCCCTGCCCCCCAACAGGAGGGGGGGACCTCCCACTCCCCGCTGGCCGGACCCCTCCCCGCTGCCCCATTCGCTGAGCTACGCTGGGCCACCACCACAGGGCAGGTATGGGGGCTGGGGGGGCTGCTAAGGGGTGTTGTCCCCCCCTAGGACCAGGCATCTGGGACCCCCCTAAAACCAAGAACCCAGGTGTCCTGGCTGGGAGGTGGGGTGTGCAGAAAAGACAGGCCTGACTAATAGAGCCTGGGCTTACTGGGATAGAACCCAGCCATCTGGGTCTCCCTCCCACCCTTCCCCTTGAGACAAAGCTCAAGTCAGGGAACCCAGGCAGAGTCCCTTGAAACCAAGGATCCAGGTGTCCAGGGAAGTGGGGAAACTCCTGACTTAGAATAGGCCCCCAAGGGAACCTGCCTGGGCCTGGAGAGAACCCAGGTGTCCAGTTCCACCATGCCTCGCCTACCCCCAGATCAAGGTGTCCAAGGGCCTCTGGAACTCCAGTAAAAACAGATCTCCAGTTCAGGCTTTGAGAAGTTTTTCGGAGCCGGTGTGGGGGGGGAGAACAGACAAGGAACCCAGGTATCCAGGGGCCCCCTGGAACCCAAGGCTTTTAGGCTTGGACCCTGAGAAGATCCTTGGGATGGGGGAGGTTGATGTGTAAGGGACCCAGGCATCCAAGCCTGACTCACACTCTCTCTCTGTTTCTTCTCTTTCTATCCGTCCGGCTCTGGCTACGTCCGTCAGACCCTTCGCTGACTTTCTCTGCCCTGACAGCCCCCCTGGCCCAACGCCCCCCCGAGACCCAGATACACAACCCCCTGGGACACTGGTGTGACCTCCCTTGCAATGAGGAAGGCAGACTGCTGGCTGTGGGGGCATTGAACAACTACAGGCTGAACGCCTTCAACTCCCTAAAATTGGGGACCCCTATAACTCCCCAATACCAGGGGGCTAGAACTTGGGGGACCCCACCAATCTGGTGCATCACAGACCTAAATCTGGGGACCCCCACAGCCAACAAATAGTTTTAGGGATCCCCAAAATCTGTGGAGCTCCCCAACCCCCCAAAATTCAGGAGACCTCCACAATATGGGGAATAAACCAAATCTGAGTCCAGCCCCCCAAAAGCTGAGAAGCCCCCCAATATGTGGGAATCCTCCAGCCCCTCAAAACATTGGGGACATCCCAAAAGTCAGGAGAACCCCTGACAATCTAGAGATGCCTCTAGCCCCCTCAGAACTGGAAAGCCCCAGAATCCAGGTTCTCCATAATCTGAGGACACCCCATATCTGTGTGGTTCCCCTAAAAAGCTGTGAATCCCCCCAAATCTTGGAGGTCTCCCCACACATTGGGCCCTAAGCCCCAAATCTGGGGGACAACTCAACCCAAGAGTCTGGGGATACCCCCCAACCTCACAAATCTCAGGGGACCCCTAAGAAACATGGGATATCCCCCCCCCAACCTGGGAAACTCCCCCAGCCTCTCTAAAATAACTTGGAACTGCCCAAGTCCCCAACATCTCTGGAGGATACCCAAAATCTGGGCCTTCCCCAAAACTCAGGGGACCCCTTGCTATAATTTGGAGGAACTACTCCCCAATGTGAGGAGCCACCCCTGCTGTACTTGCATATCCCCAATGACCCCTGGGAAAAAAGCCTCTGGGGGACCTCTCCACCCTGCTAAAAACACCTCAGGAGAGCCCCATAATTTTAGAGGACAGGGTGGCTATACTCCCAAATCGGGAGTATAGCCACCAACTGCTATATCTGGGGACCCCCCCAACTCTGGGGTGGATTTTCAAAATTTGGGGGGTCCCTAGGTATAGCTGGAGCCCTCCAGGCCCACCAAATCTCAGGGGAGCTCCACAGAATCTGGACAACCCCAATACTCTGGGGGCATCCCGTAAAACTCATGATCCCCTAAAAATGTTGGGCTCCAACCCCTCCAGAAACTTCTCCATCTGCCCCATACTGCCCAGATTCAGGTGAAATCCCCTTGACCCTACCCCACCCCCATTCCTGGCTGGTGGGACTGGAAATTGGTGGGGGGGTCCCCCAGGAGCCCAGCGGACTCTTGCTGTCTCTCTCCTCTGGCTGCACTTTTCCCACATCGGGTGGCTGGTAAGAGGGCAGGGGAATATTTGTGGGGGGCAAGAAGAGGGGACAACTTAAAGGGCCCCCCCCCGAAACTTAAATCCGGGTGTGCTGTGTACAGACAAGGCTTTGTAAGAAATACACGGGTGACACCAACCAGGCGGCTCCTGGATTTCTTGGGCGGGGGTGGGAAATTAGGCCCAGGATCAGCTTCCCCTCCCCTCCCCTCCCCTGTACCAATAGTGCTCACCCACCTTTTATCCTCCCCCACAAAATTGGGCCCCGAATCAGTGTCCTAGAACCCCTTTATTTCCCTCCCTTTGGGTCTCCCCAGGATCGGGCCCAGAACTACAGCCACCCAATGAAGCTCACTCCCCTTTATTCCCCTCCCAGGATTGGGCCCAGAATAGCCCCCTTTTGCCCTTCTCTTTATCTTCCCCACCTTGGGTCATCCCAGGATCAGGGACCCCAGAGCATACCCTTCCCTCCTTTACCCTCCCCCTCCCTGCCTCCCCCAGAATTGGGGCCTCCAAAGTAGTGCCCCTTTGGTTCATCCCCCGTTTCTTCTCAAGATTGGACCTGGAATCAGGGCCCCCAGAAAATTTATTTGAATTGTCCCAGCCCGTGGTTCCTTCCAGGATCAGGACCTGATTCTGGGAGTGATGCCCAGGATTGGGCCTAGACTAGAACAGCCCCCTTTACCCCCAGCACAAACACATAATATCCACAATAAATAACTATCTAAAGAACTTTAAAAAAAATCCTCCAGAACCCCCTCAAAACCACCCAAAAAGTCAGAGGGGAAAAAACCTTAAGACAGGAAGAACCCACAATGAATAAATAGATTACAACCCCCCACCCCCAAATCTAAAGCAAGATTAAAAACAAATTCTCCAGACCCCTAAAATAATTTTAAAATCAAACTGGGGAAAAAGAACTCCAAACATACAACATCCACAATAAATACATTTAAAACCTAAACAATGAAAACTGATCCTGCCCCAACCCCCAATCAACCTCCCTAAAAAATATCCCAAAGCAACCCAAAACCAGAGGAAAAAAACTCCTAAACCAGGCAAAACCCACAATGAATAAGGTACACACACACACTTAAGCCCCCCTAAAAATCTTCAAAACCTTTCAGAACCACCGTAAGAACCACTCAAACCAACTCCCCCGCAAAAGAGGGGGAAGCTTCCCTCCCCCAGAACAGTGTAGACCCGCAATAAATAATTAAAAAAACTAAACTGAAATATCCCCCCAAAAATAAAATCAAGCCAGCCCAAAATCAGAGGGGCAAAATCCTACCCAAAACAGATAAAATCCATTCTATTGAGAGACAGAAACAAAATACAAAACTCCAAACCCCCAAAACTAATCAAACCAACCCAAAACCAGAAGGGGACAAAATTCACTCTGTGTATATGTATATTCTGTGTCTGTGAAGAAGCAGGGCTGGAAGGAACCACTAGAGGTTTACATCTAGTCCAAGCCCCTGCTTGAGGCAGGATCAGCCCTGTCCAAACCATCCCATACAAATCCACTGTCATAGGCATCTATGTACCCACACATATACTGTAGATAGATATTTAAACATATAATCATATAATAACACAAAGTAAAAACCCCTTCAAAGCCAATCAGCCCAACCTAGAACCAGAGGGAAAAAACCCAAGCCTACAAAATCCCCCTAAATAAATAATCTTAAAAAAACAACCAAAACCTCCAACCCCCTAGAGAGCAATTAACCAACCCCAAGACCAAAGGGACACCCCCCTTCCCCAGAACAGCCAGACCCCACAATAAATAAAGAAGCTAAAAAAATTAAGACAAACTGAAAATCCCTCCAAGCCCCTTATAAACCACTCAAACCAACCTACACCTAGAGGGAAGAAAGGCCCCCAAAACAAAGTCTGCTATATATTTGTAGGAAGGTAGGTGGATAGCTAAATAGATCATCTAGAGCAGGTTCTCAACCGTTTTTCGACCAGGACCCATTGGTAAAAGTTGGTGGCCAGTCCAGACCCAGTGCCCCTCACTCACCACCCCCAGTGTGTGGGGCAAGGAGTGGGCGGGGAGCCAGGCAGCCCCTCTCAGGCTGAAGCTCTGCCAGCCTGCAAGGGAAAAGCCACAGTTTCCCCCGTTTTTATCCTTCAAGGAGAATACATTTTTAACATTTCTTTCAGACTCTTTCATATATTCTTGCAACCCAGTTTTGGGTCCTGACCCATGGGTTGAAAAACGTTGATCTAGAGCAAACTGACTCCCCTCCACACTCCTAGAGAGCACTCAATCACCCCCCTCCCCCCGAGGGAAACTGCTCCCCCTACCCAGATAACCACAAAGAAATCCATGAATAAAAGACCTAAAGCAAACCAAACCTGCCTCCAAACCTCTCAGTGGAAGTTCCAAGCCAAACCCAAGGCAGAGCCCACCCATCTAAAGACCTAAGTTACTAAACAAAGTCCCCCCTCCCCCCAACCCAATTAAAGTAACTCAGAACCAGAGGGGGGGAAACTTCCTGAAACATGCAAGATCCTTTAAACCCCTACAAAGCTAACCAACCCCTCCAAAACCCCCCCAAACCTAATAATGATACTAATAAATAGCACTAATGATATATTAAAGGAAAGTGATAATATAATTAATAAGTTATAATATTAAAAAAACAAAACAAAACAAAAAAAAACTCAGCACAACCCACCCCAACCTAAACAGAAGAAAGCCCCGGGGAGTGGGTAGGGAGCGGGGCGACGGAACGGGGTGAGGCTTAGCTCCCCCGGCTTTAAGGGCGTGACTAAAAGTCATAGGGGGCGTGGCTGCGTGGGTAGCCCTAGGTCTTGGCGGATCGAAACGCCGGCAGGGAGCGGGGCTAGGGGAGGGGCGTGGCTTAATTTCACAGGTCTGTAAGGCGGTGCTAAAAGCAGCGGCGGGGGGCTTAAGTGACCCAGCTCTTGGGAGCGGAGCTTAATGCTTTCAAGAGGGGTGCGGCAAACACCCCTGGCCATGGGCCTCGGTGGAGAGCCATCAGACCGTAGGGTCAGGGCCTAGGGCACCCAGGACTTACGGGCGGGCTTCGGGAGGACCAGGGCTTCACTTGGACGCGAGGCTAAAGGCACAGGAGGGGCGGGGCGGGGCACCACCACCAGGGCCTGTGGAGCGAGGAAAGGGTGAAGGGGCAAGATTTAGCTCCCACCCAGTGCTCCGGGGTCCAATATCACACCGCCCCTATAGCCCTTTTGCAACTTCCCTAGCGGGCGCCAGTGCCACGCCAGAATACAAGTGATCCGTGGAGGGAGTAAGGGAGGAGACCTGGGAGCAGCAAGGCTGGTGCTTATTTGGAGGGAGACGGCCTCCTAGCAACGGCCATTGGGAGGCAAGAATGCGGCTGGTCCAAGGTAGGGTGAAGCCCACCAAACTGGGAGAGACTGGCCAATGACCCCTGGGTCCCGATCCTGGGGGTGCCCTTAGGATGGAGATGGGGGGTGGGTGTCTCCCATCTCACCCCACCTCCATACCCTCCCCCCCCCAGCTTGGTCCTCCCACCCCACAATACTTCCTCCAGCCCCTTCACTAAAATGGGAAGAGTTCCAGACACAGAAAGAGGACTCAGCCTTTACATTAAAATATCTGACAAGCTTTTTATTTCATTAGTGATTTCAGTGACAGATGGGCAGACGGACACAAACTAAGTCCAGGGGGCTGTGGGAGAAGGAACTTGGTGGGGCACCAAAGCCAATCAGGGTGTGAGGGGAAGATCAGGGGCCACAAGGGTTATGGGGGTGAAGAAATCTCAGGGAACACTGGAATAGCATCTGTGTGCAGGAGAACAGATATCACCTAGGCAGGGGCTGGTGGAAGGAATGTGGGAGGCACCAAGGACAATGAGGACTGGGAGGAAGAGCTATAAGGGGACATAACAGGGGAGAAATATTGGGGAACACAGAATGTGTGCGTGTGGGGGGGAAATAGAACAGACCCCTCCCCCATCTGCGCTTCCCAATGTATCAGGGAACATGGGCAGTAGGGAAAATGTTGGAGAACACTGAGGTAGGAGGAAGGGATTTGAGGAGGCAAGAGACAAAGGGGAAAGGGATGCTGTGGGGGCAGTGAGGGAAAAGAGGCCACAGGAGGGCCTGGGAGGACAAGAGAGACAAACAGGTGCTCTATGAGGGGGCAAATTTCATGGGACACTGAGGCAGGGACTGTGGGGGGGGGGGAGAAAGGATTTTAGGGTACACTAAGGCCAGGATTGTGGGAAGCAGGAAATATTGGGGACATGGGCTATAGCATAAAGGAGTAAGTTTTTAGGGGGTAAACAGAGGCAGAGCAGAGGGTGATAGAGTGGAATTGATTTTGGGGGACACCAATGCTCCAGCCTACATGGGAGGAGAAGGAGATGCTGAGGACACAGGAACCATAACAGAGCAAGGAGGAAGAACTGGGGGGTGGGGGCTGAGGCTGGAACTGTAGGGGGCAGATCTTGAAATAGAGGCAGGGACTGTTTTAGGGGGATAGATTTCAGGTCAGTGCTTCGGGAGGGAACAGCTTTGGGATGACATCAAGGAAGCAGCTTGTGGGGAATGTTGGGCTGGGGGGAAGGACACCAAGGTCAGGGCTGTGGGGGAGAAGGTTTTGGGGTGATACCAAGACAGCAGCTTGGAGAAGAAGGTTTTTTTTGGACAGACACTATGGCCAGGGTTTGGGGGGAGGGTTTTGGGGTGACACCAAGGCTGAGATCGAGGGAGAAGGCTTTTGGGGGCACACCTTGGCAGCTGGCAGGAGGGGAACCCCATCACAGGGCCAGGATGCGGTGTGGGGGCCCCCCACTGCCCTTCCCCAGGCGCTTGACCCTCAGCAGGGGCTGGGGGACCCTGGCATCTAGGAGGGCCCGGCGCAGTCGGTGGGGGGGAGGCATGGGGGGGCGGGGGACCCCCATGGCCAAGAGCCGGCTCAGCAGGTACCTGCGGGAAGCAGGGGGGGGGGGGGGGGTTGACAGAGAGAGATACTGGCTGGGACCAGGCATCTGGGATGGGGAGCACCAGAGTCCCCAGAAGACCCAGGTGTCCAGGCTTCCACCCTCCAGCCAAGAAAACACACGTCCAAAACCCAGCCCCCCTGCTCCCGCCCCACCAGAGAACCTACGTGTCTGGGCCCGTAGCCCCCACCCCAACTCCCAGCACCCTCCCCACAGAAACTGGGTATTCCAGTTCCCAGCCCCCCTACCCTCACCCTTATGGAAAACCCAGCCCCGCCCCTCCCAGAAACCCAGGCCCGAGGGAGGCTCACCTCAGCAGCTGGGTGTCCAGTCGGGGGTCCAGGTAGTAGCGGGGGGCCGAGGGCTCCAGGAGGGGGAGCAGAGCCGAGGACCCCCTCCAACGGGTCCCATGGGGCGGGGTCAGGCCGGGGGGCCCACCTGAGGCTCCCCCCCCCAGCTGGGCTAGGGCCAGGGCCAGGGCGAGCAGCTCCTCCCGCCCACCGGAAGGCGCCGCCACAATGGACCGACGCCCCCGCCGTGGGGGGGCCACCAGGAGCTGGGGAGAAGAGGGGGTGAGGAAGGGGACCCAGGCGTCCGGGTCCCCAGGCCCTCCCCCGAGAACCCAGGCGTCCGGGACCCCAGCCTGCCCCGCCCCGAGAACCCAGGCGTCCGGGAGTCTCAGTGTGTCCGCAGAGCACTCCCCACGTGTGCCCGGGGGCAGGAGTTACAGGGTCCCCTCCCGGTCAGCATGAGACAACGCCCGAGATGGGCCCAATCCTAGGCCCCGCCGTCCCTACCTTGCTGGCGGCCGGACCCAGCGCCGCAAGCAACAGGAGCAGTAGCGGAGTCATGGCAGCTATACCGGCACCGAACCGAGAGGGGGTGGGGTCATGGGTAAGCCCCGCCCCTCGTTTGCGAGCTGGCGCCCCCCCCCTCCACGTGGGTCATTTCCATCCTACAGGGATGCTCTCCCGTCGCCATGGCAACAGCGGCTTTGCGGGCCAGCTGCCTAGTAACAGTACCCCTCCCAAGCCCCGCCCACCCTCCCAGCATAGGAATGTACCATGTAGGAGGCCCGGAGGGGTGTGTGTGAACGGGACAACGTTCTACTACTGTAAAGGCTGGGGCGGGGGAAGCTATAGGACTAGGCTGACCACTGTAAAGGCTGCGGAGGAAAACTGGGCGGCACCACAGTGAGGACTGGGGGGAGGGCTGTGTCTGTGTGTGGAGGGAGTAGTCTGGGTTGTACCATCCTAAAGTCTGAGGGTGGAAGGGGTACGGGAGGAATTGGACTGTACCACTGTGGTGGGGAACAGCTATAGGTAGAATTGGGCTGTACCATCATACGGTCTGAGGGGGTGAATTGGACTGTACCATCGTGAGGGCTGCTGCGGGGGCGTATAGGGGAAACTGGGCTATACTATCATATTGGCTGCGTACAGGCAGGGATGCGGAAGGGGTGAGGGGAAACTGAGCTGTACTATCGCAGGAACTGCGGGACGGGAGTGTAGGGGGACCTGGTAGGAATTTACCCCACCCCCTAACTGTATAACCGCAGCCCCCAACCTCCGTCCACCATCCGCCTTCTTACTTTCACGGAGTCTTTGGACTTTGCACTTAGAGATCCTTTTATTTTGCAGGTGGGGAGCATGCCTGTGCTGGCGCGCGCCCGGCCCTGCCCCTAGGGTGCCCCGCCTCCCTCCGAGGCCCTGCCCCCTTCTAGCGCGATAGCGACACTTATCCCGGGATACTGGGGGCGGGGAGAGGGAGCCTTTCAGACCGGCGGGTCTGCTGGGTGAGGGAGGGGCTTCTCTGAGGGACAATAACTTGCTAGCAACTGTGGCAGGGGCCGTGTTTAGGTAACAGAGAAAACTGAAACAGGGACAATGCGGTGGGCTGTGGGGGTCCTGGAGGATGTGAATCTCCCAACAGAAGGAGAAAGAGCCCAGTAGTCCAGGTTCCTGGCACCTCCCCAAACCCCACACATTTGCCAGCAGCTGCAGAGAACCCAGGTCCTCAGCCTACCCCTCGCCAGAGAGTGGAGAGAACCCAAACAGCCAGGTCTGGAGCAAGGAGGGGCAAGGGGGAGAGGGGCTGGAGGGATCCTGGCTAATCTTGGGCTCCTCCTAACACATCCTGGAGTTTCTTAGTAGGGGGGTGTTCCCCAGGGTGAGGGAGAGGAGCCTCTTCCTCCATGTCCATTACGGGGGAATCTCCCCTCCCCCATCTTTAAGGGAGGGACAATACCCCCAGGGACCAGTGCCACAGGGGTCCAGCCTCTCCCTGCATTCTGTGCATTTGGGTTGGGGGTCACCCCTTCCCCAATCCTAGGAGGAGTTCTTCCAGGGATGCACAAGTGATGGAAAGGGGGGCAGGGACATCCCCAGAGGAATCCATGGGTGTCTGTGTCCATGTCAGTGCCGTGCGTCTTTCTACCCTGTCTTGGTGTATGAAGGGGGCCCACCCCTCCCACCATCCTAGGGGACTCCCCCACATCTACTCCTGTCCATGCTTATTTCCCCCACCCTGGGAGATCCTGGAGTGCAGGTGTGTCCGTAAGGGGAATCGGGGGGGGCACCTCTTTCCCCTCTTGGTGTGTCCCAGCAGGTCATCCTTTCCCCATCTTAGAGGGTGGTCCCTGAGGGTGTAGGCATGTCCACAGGGGAGGAAATATCCTCCAAGTAATCCACCTATCTCTGAGGGGGTGTTGTCCCCCCAATCCTGGTGTGTCCAGAGGGGCTTTACCCCTCCCCCTCTGCTGGCACCTCCAAATAGACCCCCAAATAGATCCACGCGTGTCCATGGGGGGGTCAGAGCGCAGTCTCCAGGCTGTGGGGCGGGGCAGGCGTTGTTATTGGTGTTGTGGGAGGGGCCCCTGCTGGGCCGAAGCACCACACCATCCTCAGCATCTGTGTCATCAATGAGGGGGATCCCGGTCAGGTCCACATGTGACAGCGGCGGATCTGGGAGTGGCCGGGGGCGGTGGAGGCAGCCATGGGTGTCTGACAGCTCCAGTCCAGCATAGAGGGAGCTGCGGAAGGCCCGCACCACACGCATCTGCAGGACCCAGGCGATGGGGAAGCAAGGGAAGACAGGGGGAGTTAGGGAGGGACAAGGACCCAGCATTCCAGGCTCCTACTGCCCCTGCTGTCTACTCCCACCCCCTCCCCCTGCAAGCCCAGATGTCCAGGCTCCCCACCCCACCCCACCCTGCATAGAACCTAGGTGCCCAGGCCCCCAGCCCTAGCCCCACTGTTCTACCCACCACAGGAGAAGAGAACCCAGGAGTTCAGGCTCCCATGCCCCCTCATCTCTCCCCCATAAGGGGTGGGTGGGCCGGGGTACATGGATAGCAATGGGAGCCGAGGGAGGCCTGATGGCACCGGTGGGATACAACCAGAGGTGGGGGAGGTTGCTTATTGGTGCATGGGAGAGGCAGATTGGTGGAGCTTTAGGACCCCAGCTTTATTGAATGGGGATGCAGGTTACTGGTTGATGACAGTAGTGGGATCCAGCCTTACTGAAGAGGGGGGAGGAGCAGATGGTTGCTGACTGGTGATGGGGCAGGATCCCAGCCTTACTGAACGGGGGAAGGCTGCTGATAGAGGGACAGGAGAGGTTGCTGATCAGGGTCACAGTGGGATCCTGGACTTCTAAATGGTGGGAAGTGACTGTGGGGTGGTACTGGGGGGATCCCAGCCACAACACCCTCCAAGCCCCAGCTGCTGGGCGGACCTTCCCCAGCCCCACTGATCTCACCTGGGTCTGGATTCGGTGAAGGCCACGGAACCACAGCACCTGCCCACGCCACAACTCCTGCTCTACAGGGTCCATGTTGTCCTCGTCCTCGGCTGCCTCCTGGCTCAGCCCCCGTCTCTGCCCAGCTTTGCCCAGGCACTGCAGCTGCAGCGCGAGGACCCCTGCCAGCACCTGCCATGTGTGGTGGTGGTAGTGAGGGGGGCAGAGGTTAGGGAGGGCTGCCAAGAGGGTTGGATCTGGGAGTGGTACTAGTAGGTGGGGTGGATGTTGGGGGCTGGGAAAGATTAGGGACACTAGCCCCAGCCTTAGTGAATGGGGGAAGGCTGCTGATGGGTGGACAGTGGATTCCACCCTTATGGAATGGAGGAAGTGAATCCAATAGGGTTGTATTTGGGGGTTTAGTAAGATTTTGGGGTTCTATTTAGTGGGGAGGACTAGATTTGTGGGGGCTGGGAGGCTTGGGCTATGTACAGCTGTATTTGGGGTCTGGGTAGGTTTTTGGGGAGCTGGAAGATTTGGGGACTAGGAGGAACTTGTGGGGCTAAGATAGTTTAGGAGGAGTGGTCTGGGGAGTATGTTAGGGTGTTGTAAGAGTAGAAGGGGCTATGTTGAACACTGGGGGGCTTGGGAGGCTCCCAGGCCCCACCCCCATTCCTAGAGTTTTCCCCCAGGTTCCAGGCCCCTTCCTTTGACTCCCAGGCCCCACCACCCTGGTCAAGAGGGGTCTGGAAGGGTTGGAGGGGAGAACAGGGGCTGGGGCCCCTTGGGGGGGGGGGGATTTTGGGGTGCCCAAGAGATCTGTGAGAAGGCTTAGGCAGGTTCAGGCCAGCTGAGGGGTTTAGGGGTTAGAAGGGGTCTGGGGGGGGTTGAAGGATCTAGGCCTGTTAGGGCAGCTTTTGTGGGCTCATGAGGGGTCTAGGGGACTTGGGAGATCCAGGCCTCTTGGAGGGTGTTTAGGAGCATCTGGGGAGGCCTCACCTGCCCCCAGAGGAGCTCGCCAATGCCGAGGAAGAGGCACCAGAGCCACTGCTGGGCAGAGAGGGGAGCGCAGCTGAATGGCTTTCCCCCAAACTGCACGATCAGGACCTGGGGGGATGGGGGAGGGGAGGGTGAGACTTGGGGTCCCCCAGCAGGGCCCCAGATCTGCGCTGGGGGGCCCAACCCTTCCTTTAAGGGCTCAGTCTTGACCATAGACCACTTTGGTCTTGACACAAGAGGCCCAAGTCCCGCCCACAGAGGAGGCTGATTTGGGCTCTAAGAGCCCAGTCCTGCACTTGGGGGGCCCCTATCCTGGCTAGAACAGCCTGATCCTGCCCATAAAGGGGGCCCGACGTAGCCCACCTGCAGGATGAAGGTGCCAAGGACAATGGTGCAGAAGATGGGGTTGGCAGTGAGGCCACAGAAGACGTTGCGCTCGCCATGTACCTTGCGGGCGTTGAGCTCATTGCCAAGCTGCATGAGCACAAAGGCACTGAAGACAATGGTGAAGTTCTCAGAGGGTGGTGTGTGGAGCGGGGCTGCCCTCCCACTGTCGATGTCGAACAGTACCTCACCTGGGGCAGGGCCAAGGAGGAGGAGGTAGGGCATCAGGCTCTGCCCTTGTGGCCCCATTCACCCGCTGACCCAGTTTTGTGGGGTAAGAGTAACCCCCTACTCCCAGGCCCTGCTCTATGGCTCCAAGGACAGGGCCCCATGTTGAGGTGCCACACCTTGGTTCCCAGGCATTGCCCCCCCTGTTGTGCCCCACGGCTTCTAGGCTTTGCCCCAAACTGTCCCAGGCCCCGCCCCCACTCCTAGAACCCTCCCCACTGGCTTTCAAGCCCCTTCCTTTGACTCCCAGGCCCTTCCAACCCCAGCAGACCCTGTCACCACTGTCCAAAGCCCTGCTCCTGCCCCATTTCCTAGGCTCCTCCCCCTGGCTCCCAGGCCCTGCCCCTTGCCTGGCCCTACCCCAAAGCTGACCAGACTCCTCCCACCATCCCAGGCTCCACCACTGGCCCTGCCTCCAATGTCCCAGGCCCCAGCCCCATGCCTAGACCTGTCTCAGGCGCCTCCCACCCTCTTAGGCTGCTCATTTTTAGATCCTCACCCACTTTTGACTCCCAGGTCCTACCTCCTAACTTACGGGCCACGCTCCACTACCAGTCCCACCCTCATGCCTAGCCCCCCAACACACACACACACACACACACTCTCTCTCTCTCTCTCTCTCTCTCTCTCTCTCTCTCTCTCTCTCTCCAGCAAAAAGCAGAGTGAAGACAGCAGCCAGCTGATATGCAGCATGGCCCAGCACATTCTTCATCATGATGGGGGACACCAGGGGTTGGTCACGGCCGTGAGGCTGGCGCAGCAGCAATGCCTCTGTGGGTGGCTCTGTGGCCAGCGCCAGCGAGGCCAGCGTGTCCATGATCAAGTTCACCCACAGCATCTGCACGGCTTTCAGTGGGGAGTCCTGGGGAGGAGGTAGAGGCAGGGGACGGGGCTGGACTATGGGGCGGGGCCAAGGCTGGGGAAGAAGGTCAGGACTGAGCCAAGGCTCGGGGTTGGGGTCAGGGGTGGAGTCAGGGTGAGGCTGGGAGTGGGATAAGGGCACAGAGGGAGTTGGGCAAAGGCTGCAGATGAGTCAGGCTGGGGCTGAGGGGCAGGGTAGTCAGTGGAACCAAGATGGGGGGGCTCAGGGGTGGGGCTGGAGGTGGGGCCAGAGTGTGACTGAGGCTGGGGGCATGGTCAGGGTGAGGCCAAGGCTGAGGGAGAGGGCAGGAGTGGGGCTGGGGAGGGGTGCCCCAGTGCCTGCATTTCCTGCCCCTAGCCATGCACCCAGTCCCTGCAGTTCACTGGTGACTGTCAGTTCCTCTATGCCTCCATCCACCCCACATCAGTCCCACCTGTCTCCATGTCCCATCCCTGCATCTTCTAAACCCCTGGACTGCCAAGCCATGCCTGGGTGATGCAGGCACTGGTGAAAGCAACAACAACAGCTACCACGTTGACAGTGAACTGGAACTGCAAGAACTTGGCAATGCCATCGTAGATGTTGCGGCCCCACATCACAGCACGCATGATGCTCGAGAAGTTGTCATCTGTCAGGATGATGTCAGACGCTTCCTTTGCCACATCCGTGCCCGCAATGCCCTGGGCCATGAGGCAAGGGCCCATTCCAGCCTAGAGCCAGCCACCACCTGGGCCAACCCAGGGCCAGCCAGGGCCCAATACCCACAAGCCACCATGGGAGGGGAGAGGCCTGGGGGTGGGATACTTGGGGGTGGGTTCCCGGTTACCATGGCAAAGCCGATGTCAGCCTTCTTGAGGGCGGGGCCATCGTTGGTGCCGTCCCCCATTACTGCGACGACCTGGCGCTGCTCCCCAGCAGTGCTGTCGATGATGCCTGGGGCAGGGAGGAGATGGGGGCTGTATGCCCCTCATCTCCATCACCCTCCTGCTGCCCTAGCTCTGCTCCTTCAACATCAGGCCCTGCCCCTAACATCGGGCCTAAGATCCACACCCACCCCCTCCACCCAGGCCCCACCCCTCCTCTAAAACCAGCCTCCAGCCTAGCCCTGCCCCTGGCCCTCCCCCACCCAGGCCCCGCCCCTAGGCCCATTGACA